ATCTAGTAAACGAGAAGGCTTTCTCTGAACCTTCGTCGACCCGCAAGGCCTTCAGTGCAATTTAGACAGATAAAAAGTGCAATTACTCCCTTTTGTTGATATTCTTTCTATATAGTTATGTAATGGTGTTTTAATGTCCAGGTTGGTCCTTCTGGGTATGAAATGATTATTTCTTCATTTGTGTTGTATTTATTTTGAAAAGAAAACAGAGTACAATTTTGTTCATTAAAAAAAGAATTCATTTAGTCTAATTTTATGCAACTTACACACCAACAGTTTTTTTCCAGACAATCACTTTCAACTCTTTGTTATATCACTCCTATAAGGCTTAAAAAACATATAGGGAAAGATTAAAAAGGCTTGGTTGCTCCACCTTAATGTGGATTGCTTGATGAAATGATTTTAATTATTGCAGACAATAATCATTCACAATGCAGTGCAAATTTTAAAGTTTTCCTGTATTACATGAAACAACATGGAATATCTACTTTCCCTGAGATGGAAGATTAATGAAGGATGTTAGATTGTGCTTCTTCTTTTTTTGTTGTATTTTCTACCTCATAGGAGCTGGCCTCCTTACATGAAGTCTGAGAACGGAAGTTTTTGAGGCCACCTTTAAACATTTAACAGGGCGGGCCAGCTTTTATTTCTTTTACAGGGGTGTCAAACTCAGATTTCATGGCGGGCCACATTCGGCATAATGGTTGCACTCAAAGGGCCCGGTTGTAACGTATATAAATATATTATATATATATAAATAATGTATATATTACATTATTGGCCTACTGAATTGGATTATTATCGGATAGGATATATAACTTAGTAATTAACTACGTCTGAAAGCAGAAGTCCAGGGCAAGTCTCTTCAGTGCGCATGTCACAGAACGAGATGCATTGTGGGACATGTAGTTTATGGGCAACCTGCTTCTGTAAAGTGGCATGTAACCGTATAATAAACGTATTATATTCTTTGCAAGCTCTTGCGGGGCCACATAAAATGAAGTCGCGGGCCGGATTTGGCCCCCGGGCCTTGAGTTTGAGACCCCTGGTCTACAACCATGAACGGATTTCTTTATTTTATAATCCTTTTGAGCAGCACATGGACTGAGGATGAAAGATACTTCCTCAGCCTCAGTGTAAGTTTTCAGTATTTCTGTCAAAATGTACCTTACTCTAATGTCTGGGAATAGTGTAACTTGCATAAAGCTACATTTGTTTACTACTGACTGGACTTGAACATATGAGTGTTCCCCTGTCTTATGATATCATTCCACAAGTTTGTCTGTGAATTTACTTTGGAATAGTAACTGTAAAGGATTTGGTAAAAGTACTTATGTTTTTAAAAGAAATATTGATGTGTTTTCAGTTTAATTTCCCATTATTGAACAAAGTATGTAGAATTAAAAAGAACAACCAAATAAAAATTAAGTTACTTTTAACGCTTTGTGTTTTTTTGTTCTGAACTTAAATGTGAACAGGATTTTTAAGTTACAAAATATGTGAGAAGGTTGATGGTGCATCCTTATTATTAGATGAAAAGTTTAAAAGCTGCAGTTTTATACTCGAGAAATTAGCAGAAAGAAATAACAAACTGCTGATTTAAATCAAAACATTTTAATTGCTGTAATTTTCACCCAAATAAGTGACAAAAAACAGTTTATCAGCAAACTTGAGGTTTTCAATTGACTTTTTATGTCAGCACATTATGCATTTAAACATAAAGAAGTATCAAATCCCTCACTCGGGTCACACAAAGGTTTCTAAACGCATTCATGGACTGCTCAGTAATATCAGAACTTCAATGTGCTTTTGCCAAAATATCAAGTTGAGACATTATTTTATTCCTCAAACGGCGACACTGTTTGGGATTTTGTCAGGAGACATGTTGTAGTAAGGCAGCTTCTTCCCTTCGTTCCTGGTCTTGATGGAGAGGCTTATCTCTGCAAGCTGCTTCCTGAACCTCTCCATGGCCTTCTTCACGGGCTTCTCTGTGAAGTGCTCGTCAGGATACGAGCCCAGGTACAGCTGCAGGGAGAGAGGGGGACCGGGTCAGGAGGCCCATTGCAGGGGGAGAGGCTAATGTGAAGTAGAAGTGTAGAGTCTGTGGCCGTTTCTCAATGTCGAGTATACCTGCTGCAGAGCCACTATTTCAAGTATACTACGTCATCGAGTGGCGCCGAATGCTGGGCATTTAACATGCATTTAAACAGTCCTTCGGCGCCAACATACAATCTCGCACACAAGAAATCACGGGTGTATCACCCGTTTCGTTCAACTCGTTCTCATCTTCACATTTCTTTTACAAGGAGGTTTTATGATAACCGAAATGCTCAAAGACTCATTTACATCGACGTAACGTGTTATGAACATAGAGACCGATGTAACACATTCATGCTGACCGATAAGGACCTAGGGGTTGCGAGGCAGATGGTACTCCTCCCGGGGGCGGGTTGTCTTCCCGTAATGTCTACACTTAACCTAGTAGGTAATCGGAAAGAACTAGCACCTGCGAGGTCGACCCGTGGACGCCCCCGACACACCCGGGAGTCAGTCTCGATGTCCTCACCGCTCCATGACTTCTTCGTGTGAGAAATGTGTCGAGTCATGTCTGACCGCCAACAAAAATTTCCAGTGGATAGATACGTTTTAGGTGAAAAGGTGAAGAGACACAATTTCTCTAAGACTTTCAAAGTCCTTTTTTCTAAACGAGTGAAAAACAGGGACTAGGTAAAATATATTTTTGGACAGACTTTTTACTTCGACTAGTCTAAAACCGGAAAATACTACAGGGTATTTCCAACCGAAACACATTGGTAAATCGGGTTAGTGGTTGGTTCCATTGTGGGGGGGGGGTGTGTGTGGAATAGTGGACTTAGAGGAGGATGCTCCGAGGTAACACAAGAGAAATTGGTTTATAGAGAAGACTCCCCGCACCCCTCCCAGAGAATTAAAAGTAGATTTCATTGTCTTGTCTCTTAGTCGTGAAACTTTGTCCAGACTTTTGTCTCCCCTATATGCCTACGACGGTTACTAGACAAAACCCATAAAGGCTCCAATTTGTGGAAGTCTCTTGTACAAAAACATATATAGACTATGGATATTATATAACTAACTTTTTGTAATATTATCCCCCTGGAAATTTCCCGGTCGGTTTTGTCAATCTATGTCCGGCAAGAGTTACAACTCATATGGACGACGCTCCTGGTGATAAAGTTCATATGATGCAGTT